GGAAACGTCTCTGGACAGCGCTGGCTCTTCGGCTTGGAAACGGAGATGAGCACCGCTTCCCTAGAGTCGGATTTGACTGGCTTTCGAGCAAGGGAAACCTTTACGATTTACTGGTCAGATGATATGTCTGTGAGGCTGATTCTCAGTCCCTGTGGCCTAATGCATAAGCAGGCTAGTAAAAGGAGGAAATGTGATGGAAAGTGGAGGACCTTTCTCAGAGTCGGAGATGTCGAGTCCCATATCCAAGAGGAGACCTTCCACTGCATCCACCCAGCTCAGCAAGCCACACAAGACTTCAGCTGCCCAGCCCTGGACCCATGAGACTGGCGGGGCGACGCTCAGGTTTTGAAGACTGCAGACCTCCTTCCTCAAGCTGCTGCTGCAGTAGGGGGTTTCCAAAAAAGCCTAACAAAGAAAGAAAACGGTGGGAAGGGGAAAGAGCAAAAATACCCCGAGCGTAGAGGGCCGGTGTGGATCGCTCACGTCACGATCTGGCAACGAAAACAAGGAGCCCTTTCCCACAAAAGAACGTGGGTTATTGCCAGTCTAGCTACTCTAGCAATAAATCATGTTGCCTACTTATTTCAGCAGCCCTTCTGTCTTCTCATTACATCGAGGAACTCAGACAAATCAACACACTTCTCCCCCTTCCCAACCTGGCCCAGTTTTCAACAGTTTGGGGGAAAGAACCCAAGCTAAATCAGGGAGAAATTCTGGGAACTGTCTGCGTGTCCGTCTCTCACATATACACTCCCTGCCACGGGGCTTCAATAAGTCCTGAGATTTCTAGCCCCAGTTTGTACATTGACTGGAAAGCTGTGGGGTGCTGCAGGTGGCACCTTCAAGTGCAATAAATCACTAGTGTGGGTGAGGGGGAATGGAGGAATGGACAGCACATTCTAAGCCTCCAGAGATTGGGCGGGGGGAGGTTGGTACCAATGCACAAGCCTAGAGATGTGAAAGCCCGGAAAAAAAAGGAAACATTTGGAAAAAACCCGTTTTTTTCCCGAAAAATTGGAAAAATTGAAAAAAGAAAAGAAAAAAAATTGGTTATGGAACGTTTTATTTTAACATGATGAATAAAATATTTTAAGACAAGGTGTTCAAATATTTTCCAAATCATTTCTAAAATATATATATATATGGTATCAGATTGATCTATTTTCTGTGCACTGAGGACAAGCAAGTCCTAGGTTACAAACTGAACTCTCCAATGCAAGAACAAGATGCATTTCTTCCTTTAGGAGGTGCGATTGTCAGAAGAAAATAAAAAGGTTTCAGTTTTGTTTTTGCATGTGGGTGGGTATTCTGTTTGTAATCATTGTTTGGATACACTATATGTTTAATATGCTAGTTGTGATAATTTCATGCCAAGTAAAAATGTCCATAGTCATATTTTATGTTCCTAAAGTAACAGAATGACTTTCAATCTAGAAAAGACAAAAGAAATGCTAATGTAGCATTTTTTTCAATTTTCCCCAAAATTTCCATTGCTCCCCCCAAAAAACTGGGGAAAAACCGAGTTTTTTTCCGAGCTTCAAAATTTCCGGAAATTTTACATCTCTATGCAAGCCCTGACCTGGATGGCCCAGGCTAGCCTGATCTCATCAGATTTCAGAAGCTAAGCAGGGTCAGCCTTGGCTAGTACTCAGATGGGAGACCACCAAGAAAGTCCAGGGGACGCTCCTCAGAGGCAGGCAATGGCAAACCGGCTGTGACTCGACAGCACTTTACACACACACACCAATGTGCAAACTATGCATCTACAGAACCATCAGACTGCAGACACACAGAGAGGTATTCACTCATAAAATTCATTCCATGTTCAGAAAAAGACATACTTTTGACACAAGATGTGCAAATAGTGCTTTGTTGAGGCTCACCCCGCCTTCTCCCTGCCTCTCTTGCTCGCTAAGCGCCACAGATCAGCGGTGTCGCTCATTGACGACACCACAGAGCCACTCCCACTCTGGCTCTGCAGAGCCACCTACACCAAGTTTTCTGGGTTCTGCTACCCTTTGCTTGCCAGCATCAAGCCCCACACAGGAAGCTGGCAAGCTGCTCCCAGGTTTCACCCATGCTGCTGAGAACCTGCCTTTGTCCAGCTACTTGGTGCAGCCACTGCGGACTAGGGCCTGGTGGGGCCTGGGGATCTCCCGCTTTTACAACTGATCTCCAGCTGACAGAGATCAGCTCCCCTGGAGAAAATGGCTGCTTTGAAGGGTGGACTCTATGGCACTGTACCACGCTGCGGCCCCTCCCCTCCTCAAACCCTGCCCTCTCCTGGATCCACCTCCAAAGTCTCCAGGTATTTTCCAACCCCGACCTGGCAACCCTACTGTGGACACCAGCTTCAGCTGGTAGGGCTGGCCCCTGGCTCCACACAATTCCCCCCAGCCGCATTGTGCTATGCTGGGAGTCCTCAAGGTAGCTTTAATCAGCAAAAGAAGCCCACGTTGAAAGATCTTTCAAGGGCAGATTTTTGATGGTTTATATAGAAAAATGCACACAACTTGTGTTACCTGAAATCCGTCCAATGATTCCTTCAGCAGCTCAAATTGCTCAGTTGTGGCTCTCTCTTTGGCTGCTCTGACATGGATTTCCTCTCTCAGCAACTTCTCCGTGCGAGAAAACTCCTTGCTGCTCTTCTTAATTTCACTGATCCGCTTGATGATCTGACAAACAGAGAAGAAGCAACACATTCATTATTTTCCCCTTTATTTCTGGGATTTCAACACCCCCTCCAGCCAGCTAAATGGCTAACAGTGCAGTCCTATGCAGAGTTACTCCAGTCTAAGTCCATTGACATCAACAGGTGTACACTGGAGTAACCCTGCATAAGATTCCACTCAATGTTATTTTCATACCAAATCACAGTTTAGTATAATGTTAAATTTATATTTAATCACCTCTTTGGGGAGTCAAGATACTCCTCCCTTCGGGCAATTTCTGGCACAATACCATGATGGCCTCCCCTAGCCAATACAACATTAGCCAGGAGACCCAAATGTTGCCTCCAGGCATTACAAATGAAAGACAAGGGCTCTTTGCTTCAAGGAGTATGCTGATAAATGGAAGTGGAAAGGAAATGGGATTGGACTTCTAGTATGGCAAGGTCAGGCCTTAAAGTGTTTCTGTAGTATCTGGTTGTTTCCAAATACAGAGTAGCAGGGGCGGGGCGGGGAGCAATGTTCCCTCTAAGGTGTGGAGTCTTGTGAGCAAAAATTCTATTTGGTGAGCTCCTGGCTTTCAAGTTGTGAGCGAGCAATTTGGCTACTGCATAAATTAGCTTGCTCTGGAGCCCTCCTTCCTGAGCCAAGACAAAAATGTGTGAGCTGGAAGCTAAAAAACTGTGACCTGGCTAACACTAACTCAGCTTAGAGGGAACACTGGCGGGGAGCAAATATGCTTATTTCCTTCCCCCTCTACATTTAGAAATAACCAGATATTAGGAGGGGAGCCGTGGTGGCTCAGAGATCTGCAGACTGGAAGGTCTATAGTTTGGCAGTTCAAGACCCGAGTGCCACACGACGGAGTGAGCTCCCGTCTCTGGCCCCAGCTCCTGCCAACCTAGCAGTTCGAAAACGAGAAATTGCAAGCAGATAAACAGGTACCGCTTTGGTGGGAAGGTAACAGCGTTCCGTGCGCCTCGGCGTCTAGTCATGCTGGCCACATGACCACGGAAACGTCTTTGGACAGCGCTGGCTCTTCGGCTTGGAAAAGATGAGCACCGCCCCCTCGAGTCGGATTCGACTAGCTTTTGAGCAAGGGAAACCTTTGCCTAGATATTAGGAGAGCAGGTCATCCTCTCCTCTAACCAGATGCAGCCCTGACCTGGACGGCCCAGGCTGGCCCAATCTCATTAGATCTTGGAAGCTAAACAGGGTCGGCCCTGGTTAGTGCTTGGATGGGAGACAACCAAGGAGGCCCAGGGTCGCTACACAGAGGCAGGCCAGGGCAAACCACCTCTGACCATCTCTACTTTTGAAAACCCCAAGGGGCCGCCGTAAGACAGCTGCCACTCAGTGGCGCTAGCCGGATTCAGTCCCTTTTCCGCATGTCTTTAAGCCCACACACCCCATAGGCCAGTGGTGGCGAACCTATGGCACGGGTGCCAGAGGTGGCACTCAGAGCCCTCTCTGTGGGCACGCGTGCCATTGCCCCAGCTAGGCCCAGACCATCATTAAAGTGTCGAATTCTCTGCCAAATAATTTTAAGTAAATGAAAGCATTTGGGATTGCTTTCCTCACTTTGTTTGGATCATCTTACGTTAATGTGTGAGTTGTTTTTTTCTAAAGTAAAACCTCAGTATTCAGGTTAAATTGCCGTGTTGGCACTTTGCGATAAATAAGTGGGTTTTGGGTCGCGGTTTGGGCACTCAGTCTCTAAAAGGCCCACCATCACTGCCATAGGCTGTCCAAATCAGTCACGCAAACTTCTTCCCACTCACCTTGCAGACAGCTGTGAGCTGACCGCCACGCAAGAGCCAAAGCGATTCACCTCGAATAGCACTGATCGCCAGTGGCCAAAGCAGATCAGACAAGACAGCGTGACCAACAGCGCGAGATCACTTTTCCCTTGAAAGACACACAAACTCTCAAACACACAACACTGTACAGTCCTAAAAAGGACTTCACCTGTTGATCTGATACTGGCTCCTCTGGAAGTTCTGACAAAAGGCATTCAGTCATTTGCCTTCTGAAAAGCTGCGCCTATAGAAGAAACAACAAAAGAGTTAAGAAGTCGCTAATCGTGGATTGAGATTTGGCTGGGGCTTTAGAGAGGGACGGGCCTTTAGGCACGCAGAGCACTCACGCCCTTCCACTGAGCCACGGCCTCTCCCTCGCAGTGCAGCCCATTGAACACAACTGCAGATCAGACTGAGCCACGGCCTACCTGAGCTCCCGCTGTCTCCAGGTCCAACTTGGCAAGGCGTTCTCGGCGCCCCATTTCTTGCACCTGCTGCAACTTCCTCTCGCATTCCCTTTGCAGCTCCTCCTCAGCCTGAAACGAGGGAGACATCAAAGACACACTCTGCCTTTACCAACATGGGGTGCGAGAAATTTGCTCTTGGAATTGCAGGTAAAGAGAGAGACATTCGTACAGCATTACTCGTGAACAGGGGTCATTTCGTAGAAACCCTCCCGCACCTCACCCGGAGGGATGGCGTCCCCCCGCGTCCCCCCTCCAAATGACCCCTGCTCGTGAACACGCAGCTTAGTCATAGGTGAAATCACGTCACAGCTCAGAAGCTGAGCAGGGTCGGCCATGATTGTCCTTGGATGGGAGACCACTGAGGAAGTCCAGGGTTGTGACGCAGAGGCAGACAACGGCAAACCGCCTCTGTCTCTTGCCTTGCAAACCCCACAGGGCTGTTGTAAATTGGCTGCAACTCGACGGCACTTTCGAACACCGCCAAGATTAAGCAGTGGCTAAAAAGCAATGGTTGAAAGAAAACCAAGAGACGAGGCACTGGCCCCCTCAGCCTGAGGCATCCGCAGGCAGTCAAACTCTCCCCTGGGTGGGTGAGTGGGGGATCGGGAGGGAAATTCCGTTGCCTAGAATTTAAGACACTTCCCAAGTGGCTTCTGAACAAGCACAAAACCCAAGGGGGTGGGGCCTCTGCGGTGACCCGGGGGGGAAGAACATCCTATTCCTGTTTGCAGCTTCAGGCTTTCACATCCTCTTTCACATCTTTGTTGTTGTTGTTGTTCAGTCGCACAGTGTAGAGGTTTGTGTGCTCACATTTCTGCTCAGCCGTCAGGCTCAGTTGGTGCCCTTGGAGTCCATCACCTGCCATTCGAGCCCATTACCTACGGAAGCTGAACTGTTCCAGTGTTCAGCTTTCAATGTTCTTGTTCTGGGTACGCATCTAAGAGTAGTTCTCAACATGCTGCATGGCTCATGACAGGCTCCTTTGAGAGGCTCAGTGCTCCTTGAGAGATGTGCCGGTGTTTTTGGAAACAAAATGATATAATTACATTCATTATTTCTCCTTGTACCCCTCCCTCTCCAATGTTTTTATGGCATGTTGCAGGCTGGAGTGTTTCAGTGTGACGTGGGAAAGGAGGCCCTCAGAGAACATCTCCCATTGGTGTCTGCCTGCCTGCCTCCCTCCCTCTCTGTTTGGTGTAGTGGTTAGGAGCAAGGACTCTAATCTGGGAGAGCCAGGTTTGATTCCCCACTCCTCCTCCACATGCAGCCATCGCTTTCCTCCCAAGGAGCAGGCGTCTTTTAATTTCATGGCTGCTGTCACAGTCTGCAGTGATCTGGGATCCCAGGAACGTGAAGTCTGTCACTACTTTGTTGTAGGGGTCCTTGAAGGTTCACTAGCCCTCTGCCGCTTGGGGAGGGAAATCCAAAGGGTCACCAAAGGATTTCCTGCCTGTGGCTGAACTAGGAATGAGAAACCTCATTACCAACGCTCACATCCTGTATCTGGTAATGAAGTCAAGCGGTTTTTGATATGAACTAGCCCCATCAATCTAATTCTTTGTGTTACATGCTGACATTTTCGGGCAAGCCTGCCCTCTGCCGGATGCAATCAAAGTTTGGAGTCTCTCTGTGATTGTCTCGCCATCTGGTGGGGGATCGGCAAATACCAAGAGCACTGGAAGGAGTATGGACAGCTGCTTCGGGCAGGGCACCTACGTATGTGAATTGGGTCCAAGGAATTCATGTGGGCCATTCCATGAGCCTGGGTAAAGACTCATCCCATGCTTGGCAGGACCAGATTCCTCTGGGACACTGCGAATTAGGGCAGCTGACTCCCGATGCCGTTGTCCAGCAAGCCATCTCCTGCTTCATTTGCCTTCTCCTTACAGATGCTGCATCCTGCGTAAGGATTGCCAGCTCTGGGATGGGAAGTACCTGGAGATTTTAGGGGTGGAGTCTGGGGAGGGCAGAAAACTCAGCAGGGTATAATTGCCATAGAGATCACCCTCCAAAGCAGCCATTTTCCCCCCAGGGGGAACTGATCTTGGTCATCTGGAGACCAACAGCAATAGCAGGAGGTCTCCAGGTGCCACCTGGAGGTTGGCAGGCCTACATGACCATGCTGCATGCACATGTATCTTAGTTTTGGCCAGCTGAGAAGCAGGGGACACAATTCAAAACTGAAAACGGAAAATCCAAACTTGGTAATAAACAAAAGAAAGTGGATTGTGGTATTTGGACAGGAGTAGTCTGGTACAGGGATAAATGTTAAGCCCTTCCTATCAGACAGAGCTCATACGTTGCCCTTTTTTGCAAAATGAACAAATTACCTTTGTTTTTTCTGCAAGCCTTTTGGTTAAGGTTTCCTGCTCGGCGCGGGATTTCTGTAATTCTTCTTCCGCTCTCTTTATTTGCTGCTCAAGTTCAGCAATACGCTGGAAGACACCAAGCAAAACAGGATCAGCTTCAGGGTGGGGGGGAACCCACACAGGGGTCGGTCAGCTTCTGGGTTAGTAGGTAAGAAAGACATGCAGGCTCAGTTAGGGGGCTATAAGACATTCTAGCCATTTTCAGCCTCGGCTTCCTGGCTTAGGCTTCCTACGGAACGAACACTTCCCCAAACAATAATGAAGTTAGTCACAGGTCAGGATCCCGTCTACTTTTTAAAAGGGTTAACCTGTTAGAAAATCCTTCTCCCAAGGAGGCGTAGTTTTTAAAAAATCTGCTGTCAGGCATGCTAAACAAGCAAGATAACTGAACGCTAACTCACATTCTGATAGGCATTTACTTCTCTCTCTCTGAATTCACGCTTCATTTCATCTTTAATTCTAGAACACTGCAAGGAATAGCAACGAAGGAAAACAGAGATCAAGCAAGAGGGAGGTTATTGCATTGGATTCAACCAGCCCTGAGGCCCTATATATTCAAGAGTTCTGCAAAGGGAGGGCTAGCCAGGCCCAATATATTCAAGAGTTCTGCAAAGGGAGGGGAAAACCGGATTTTAGCCATTATGCTATACTAACTTCTAACATCAGATGGGAAGCAAACCAACATGAAGTTCTGCATGAGAAAAGACCGGCCTCCCCCACCTTTAGACGGCTTAAAGGGACAGGAAAATGCACTTGCAGCAATGCGAAACGTAAAACACATATTTATTTTGATCTTTGAAAATGTGTTTTTGAAATGCAGGGCTGGGCCACAATCCCCCCCCCCAAAGAACTTGGGAATTAATCCAACAGCAGCTACTGTGGTGCAAGACTGCATTTCCATCATGCCCTGTTGATAGGAAAACAGCATCATGTGCATAGCCAGTTACCACTGATGTTGCAGTATTGCCGTTATTAACACTGTGGATTGTACTTGTACCAAAGGTAGTTCTGAGTCCAGCCTCACTGCTTCATCTGTAGCCAGGATCGCCTTTTATCTACTTAGACTACCCCATTAACTGTATCCCTCCTCGATCTGGTCACCATTATACATGCCATGCCTGGATCGATCCCTAGATTGGGGGACTCCAATGCCCTTATGTGCAGCTCCTTTGAAAGGCATTTGCCAAATTCCCCTGGCTCAGAGTCAGGCCCGTAGCCACAGTGAGGCATTTAGGGGCGGTGCCCCCTCACTCATGGCCCATGCCCCACAACTCCCGCTGTGGGAGTTGTGCTGGCAGGTAAGGAAAGACCCTTCTCTTCTCCACCTGCCTGCCAACAGGATCTCTCTCCCCCCTCCCCACCAGATTTCCCAATGGCTCCCCCAAATTTTCTGGCTACGCCCATGCCCATAGTGCTCACGGCACTTTAACACAGACAGCTAGACTGGACCTCCGTTAGTTTCTGGATGCAATTCCAAAATGCTGATTTTGACCTCTAAAGCCCAAAGTGGGCCAGGCCTACGGTAGCAGGATGAGTCCCTTAACTAGTTGGCACTTTGGGATCCACAGCTGCTATCTTCAGCATTTCCGTTCTGACCCTCCTCCAAGAAGCATGGGGCATATGAACCTTGTGCTGGAGGAACACACTTTGAAATGGAGGACGAGGCAAGCTGAAGGAAAGCGTAGGATGCAAGCTCATATTTTTGGACAAGATACAAAAGTCTGTGTTAGGAATAGCTGGAACAAAAACTGGGAAGCCACCTGCATTTTGATCTTTGTGTTGCTGGCTTATGCAGTATGGAATTATCACTGCCCTAAGCCTACAGTTTTGCAAGGCGATTACAATTTCCAGTCCCAGTCCCTCCGGCACCCCACTCGGAGCAGCATGTGAAAAACATGATTCTTAACCTGGGCGGACACATGCGCAAGTTGGTTGTCCTTCTCCCTGTTCTCGCGCCTTAATTTCTCCATATCAATTCTCAGCTGCTGCATCTTCTGCTCCTTTGACGTGATGTCTTTTTGCAAACTGGTCACCAGCCCTGGAGGAAAACAAAAATCGACAAAATGTAGACCACAGATGGAAAGCAAAACAAGCTACATCCTAGGCAGCCGATTCTTAAGCATGGGAAATGTGTGAAGATGACTTCAAGATGAAGATTCAGAGTTTGTTTGGGAGCTTGCTTTTCACCCAGCGTTTCAGTCCTGAACAATGTCTAAAATGGCCTGGAAGAAATACGGATAAGATTGAGTTGCTTTCCCCTCTGTGAGCTGGTGGAGACTAGGTACCCTGAAATGGGAAAGAAGGTCCTTCATCTCCTCAAGACACTTTCAGGGCTTCTGGATATTTGTGATGGTGATCAGCGGGGATAGAGGGAAGCCCCCATCTGGAAAAAAATCCATGGTCAAAACCAAATGAGCAGGCATGAACATACACAAAGCTGCCATACACTGAATGAGACCGGCAAGGTCAGACTTGTCTACTCTGACTGGCAGCAGCTTCCCAGGGTCTCAGGTAGGGGTCTTTCATAACACCTACTGCCTGGTCCTTTTAGCTGGAGATACGGGGGACTGAACCTGAGACCTTCTGCATGCAAAGCAGATGCTCTGCCAATGAGCCATGGCCCCTTCTTACATGTGCATGTACAAGCAAGACTCAAGGCAAGGATCAACACTGGTATGACCATTCTGCTCCAAAATGTCCTTACTTGGAAGGCCCAGGCTAGCCCAATCTTGTCAGATCTTGGAAGTTGAGCAGGGTCAGCTTAACCTGGTTAATACTTGGATGGGAGACCACCAAGGAAGTCCAGGGTTGCTTCAGGCAGGCAGGCAGTGGCAAACCACCTCTTGCCCTGAAAGCCCTCCAGGGTTGCTATAAGTTGGTTGCGACCCGATGGTGCTTTCCGCCACCTCCATCATGACCCACCTGCTACAGTGTTAATGGGTTCTGCTCAGAATGGTCCTCCCTCCCTCTAAATGGAGTGATTTCCCTCTGATTGGGTTATTGTTTCTGACTTGAAAGACCTCATCTTGGAATAAATTTTGTTCATCTCTAAGGTACCGCTGGACTTTTGTTTAATTCCGCTGCGACAGACTAACACGGCTACCCCTCGGGAATGACTTGTACAATGGATAATGTTGCACACGGACAAGAAACACCTGGTTTCAAATCCCTCTCAGCCCAGAAGCTTCCCGGGTGACCCGGATCTAGTTGGCATCTCTCAGCCTAACTTATTTTACGAAAATATTGAGAGGGGGGAAAAACCCTATAAATACCGAGGAGGAGCCGCCAGGTGCAAACATGATGGATCCACAAAATAAGCAAACGAGGCGCGCAGGCACAAAAAGCGCCTGTAAGTAAGAAAGCGTTAAATCTTTTTGGTAGAGTCCAGGGAGGAGTTTGACCCAGAGCAATTTCTGGAACAGTGTAAAAGAGAGCAACAACTGAGAAATGTCTGGATTGCGGCTCGTGCTGAATCAACACTTTGCTAGCAGATGCATGATGTTAACGCTGAGACGAAGCAGTTCTTGGCCTTCCTGAGAGCATCCCAAAAGAAAAAAGTGAGATGTATGTTTAATTGGAAAATGTGGAGAGACCTGGCCCATAGAATCCCCAAGAGTCAAACACGACTGAATGGCTAACAACAACAACAACAACATTTAGTAACCCAGAAGTGCTTGTTTATTCAGACACATGATCTATAAGCAATGGAGGGGGGGGGAAGCAACAAGCTTTTTGCTGTTTGTACAGTTCCTTGGACCGCAAGGAGATCAAATCAGTCAATCCTAAAAGAAATCAACCCTGACTGTTCCCTGGAAGGCCAGATGCTGAAGCTGAAGCTCAAATACTTTTGCCACCAAATGAGAAGGGAGCCCTCACTGGAGAAGACCCTGATGCTGGGAAAGACTGAAGAAGGTAGAAGAAGAAGGGGACAGCAAAGGATGAGATGGTCAGACAGTGTTATCGATGCAACGAACATGAAATTAAGCAAACTCTGGAGCACGACGAAAGACAGGAGGGCCCGGAGTGATGTGGTCCATGGGGTCGCGAAGAGTCAGACTCGACTGTGCGACCGAACAACAACAACGTACCTGAAGTCAGAGAATTGCTTTTCTTCAAATTCTCAATCTCTTGCTTCCAGTGTGCAATCTGGAGGTCTCTTTCTGAAAGGGAATGGCACAACACTTCACTTGTGTTTTGCTGCAGGTGGGAAACCTATGGCCAAGGAGAGACAAAGACAGGGCAGTCACATCAGTCTGGATTAAATCAAGGCATTTCTACAGCAAGCAAGGCTAAAAAGCACTGTGCGGTTTGAATCCTCGCCGAAAGACTTGTGAAGTCGCAGGACTGCTGGCTGTGAGGCCGGGTCTGGACCAAGGCCCCCCACAGTGAGCATGCGGCATCAAAACGCACTTGGCCACTTCTGGCTGTTTGGAACTTCGGTTTCCCTGGAGGATGGATGCGTTTCCTGTATTGCCACAGTGGGGGAGCTGGGACAAGTGCCTCCGCCGCAGTAGAACCTGTTCCCTTCCCTCCTTGCTCATTTCCTTCTGAAGGCTTCTCTTGTTGCCATCTCTCACACAAAGCAAGAGCCCTGCTAGATCAGGCCGATGGTCCAGCATCCTGTATCCCACAACAGCCAACCGGTGGGCCTCTAAATGAACCGTCGTCCTCTGGCAGTGAGTTTCACACATCGGTCACGTCTCGGGGGAAGAGGTCTCCAGTTCTACTGTTAGAGTGACACGCATCCCATTGGAGCCCAGGGGGCGGGCACATGCAACAAGCCCCACCCCCTGCTCTCAGCAGCCCTCAGTCAGAGCAAGAAACAGCCAGGTAAGTTGCAGAGCTCCCCCCGTCCCCCCGGTCCAAAACAGTCCAGTGGCACCTTTAAGACCAGGTTTTCTTCAGGTACAAGCTCTCCCTCCTCTGCGAGGATAGATCTACACATTCCCCCCCTCCCATAGCTAGCCATCCGAAACAGTCCAGTGGTGCCTTCTGACACACTTTTGGTGATGTCAGGGGGTGTGGCATATGCAAATAAGTTATGCTAATGCGTTATGCTAATGAGCTCCTGCACCTCTTTTTCTACGAAATGACCCCTGACCACATTCAAAGACCCCGGGGCCAACGACGTACTGACTGCAGAGTCACCCCAGAATGGCCATAAAATGGCCATAAATCTATGCAGACAGTACCATAATACCGAGAGATTAAAGGAAGTGAAACCGGCATGCAGTGTGGAGACTACCATAAAATCCGACAATCAAATAAAAGTGGAAGTGGCATGCAACGGAGAGGGGGATTTCTGTTCCAATGTGGGTTTGGTAAAACAGCGGCGCGAATGCTAGATGCAGGATGGGCCGCAGACTTGTAGAACTCTGCCATTTACAACTGTGCTTGTCCCAGTGGTGCTCTCTTTTTGTCACTGGACGACTCGAACGTCTCTAAGGGGAGGACCGGCATGGGCTGTATTGTCACCTGCCCTGGGCTGGCCGCTCCTTTAGATAAATTTAACCTGGGAGAACAGCCCTCGAGATTCTGGAATGGTGAGAACAGCTAGAACAGAAGTCCAGTAGCACCTTAAGAGACCAACCAGGTTTTCGGGTATGAGCTTCTGAGAGCAGAAGCTCCCTCCGGCAGATACTTGACAAACTGGGAGCTCTGACCCTCGAAAGCTCACACACACCCCAAAAATCTTGTTGCTACCGGACTTGAATTTAGGTCCTCTATTGCAGGCCAACATGGTTGCCCTCCAAAATGGTAAAAGTAAGAATAGCTCATACAGTTCTCATGTATAATGGCGCAAATCATTTCCCAGTCTCTCGTGGACTACTGATATGAATGAATTCAATACCAAAGAACGGCAATTACTGTGCGAGTGAGTGGAGGCTTCGCATTTGCATTACAGGCCCAAGACAGGCTTTTGAGCCTCATATGTGAAGACTCCCCAAATGCATCTAATGAGGTGAGCTCTGACGCACAAACGCTTATGCTGGAACACATTTTGTTAAGTCTTTAAGGTGCTGCTGAACTTCTGTTCTATTTTGCTGCGACAGATGAGCACGGCTACTCCATGGCAGTCTATTAAGGCACCTCAAGCTGCTTTTTGAGAGAGATTAGACTGGATGAATAGCAAGACAGGTAATCAGAGCTGGGAAGAAGGAAGGAAGGAGGAGATGGAGAGGGAGTAACACGTCACAGAGAAATTGGGAGGACAGTTCAGGAAGTGCCCCCTGTGAAGCTGCCCTTACCTGCTCTTTCAAAGCCTTAATTTCTTCTGCCTTTGCTTCAATGTCCTGGTTGAGAGTCCGGAGCTTCTGATGAAACACGGCATCTTTCCTGGCAAGAGCCTCCACTGTCTTCTCCGTCATCGCCGCAAGCTCGTCCTGAAGATTCGCTATCACTGTATCCTTGCGACTGGACTCACCTTCATAGCTGGAGTGACGGCTGATTCCGTTTTCTGTTTTCATAGGGAGCTCGTCCTAGATGTAGAAGAATATCTCACGCGGCTTCAGGTACAATGTGCCCAACCAATCGGCCTGCACTTGGTTGGGCACGTTATACAAAGTGCGTGCTGAATGTCCTGCAAGACGCCAAGTGTCTTTATCCTAGTCACTATTCTGTTGCACGTACATTTCAACAGATGTTCATTTATTTAATTCATTTATACCACACCTTTCTCCCCAGTGGAGACCCAAAGTGGCTGACACAGCTCTCCTCCACTGTATCCTCACAACAACCCTGTGAGGTAGGTTAGGCAGAAGAAGAAGAAGAAGAGGACGAGGAGGAGGAGGAGGAGATTGGAGATTGGATTTATACCCCGCCCTTCACTTGGAGTCTCAGAGCGGCTTACAATCTCCTTTCCCTTCCCCTCCCCACAACAGACACCCTGTGAGGTGGGTGGGGCTGAGAGAACTCTGACACAAACTGCTCTTTTTCAAGGACAGCTGTGCCAGAGCTTGTGACTGACCCAAGGTCACACCAGCAGGTGCAAGTGGAGGAGTGGGGAATCAAACCCGGTTCTCCCAGATCAGAGTCCGCACACTTAACCACTACACCAAGAGAGTGTGATGGGCCCAAGATCACCCAGCCAGCTTCCATGGGACAAGTGGGGATTCAAAGCTCGGTCTCCTAGTCTGACTCTTAACCAAGGAATTTCAGGTTATCTGTGTGATTTAAAAAAAAAATACCCTGAATCAGCTGGTAAAATTCTTAGCAAATCAAAACTCAAGCAGCATGCCCACGTGACCCTGGTCTTGGAAGCCTGCCTCCAGAAGGCTGCTCCCAGCATTGCCAGATCCAGAAGAACCAAGGTCCTGTGTTAATATATCCCCACTGGTCCCCTGTTCCAAGCAATCCTTCCTCTAAGCTGTGGAGTCTTGCGAGCAAAAATTCTACTCTGTGAGCTACTGGCATTGACGTTGTGAGCGAGCGATTTGGCCGCTGCATAAATCAGTTTGCTCTGGAGCCGTCCCTTCCTGAGCTGAGACAAAAATGTGTGAGCTGGAGGCTAAGAAAAACTGTGAGCTGGCTCACACTAACTCAGCTTAGAGGGAACACTGGTTCCAAGCACAAGATTGTTTAATGAGCTTTTAGCCTGACTTGAAAAATACCTGAAGTGGCTAATGCTAAATTTTTAAAAAACCCATAAAAGAGGACCAACAACAACATCAGACTGTCCGCAAAACCAATAAGCAGCACCAAAACCTCACGATAACAGAAGACAAGGAAGCCGAAAGGCCCCCAGGAACACATTTTCAGATTGTGCTGGAACACCTGCAAGGGGGATGTTCACTCTGTAGGGAGTCCTGCTGTCCAAGTGTGACAGCTGAGACGACAGCTGAGACGACACTTCCAGGGGTTCCCACTAGTCATATCTCTGATAGTATGGATTCCTCTAACAGGAAGGAGCCTTCTGGCTAATTTCAAAATGCAGACAAACTCATACAGTTTTATGGTACTTGGACCCAAGCAGCTTAGGGTCAAGCAGCTATATTTTGAGTTAGGGTTGGAAGAAAATGTGGAAACCGGTACAGTTGCTAAAGCATGGGTTTTATATATCAATTTTGACAGAACCCTGGCGTTTTGCAGCAGCAGCAGTCATTTCCCAATGGTCTTCCAAAGCAGCCCTGCATACAACATGTGAACAGCAGTCTAATTACCAAAGTGCACGTAACAGTGCCCAGGTGTGCAAGGGGAAAGTGTGCCAGTCTTTCCCTTACCCTTTCCCCTACCCCAAACTCAACACTGCAGTGCCCAACCAGAAATGTGAGAAGCTGCAGCCTAGAAGAAGCTGTCTGCTTAGTCGCTGATGTCTCTGCACTGGGCGTTACAAGATGTCTGGTCACTATTAAGCGGACTTCACTGCCAGGAACGGGAATATCAGGGGTCTCAGATACATTCAGGTATGGTCACCTCACCTTCTCCTTGGGAGGTGAGTCGGTGTAATGGGCGCTTGGCAAAGGACCAGTAGCAGTTCCGGTTCCTGGAAGACAAAAGATGATGCAAAACAATAAAATGTTTTTGAAAAGGAAACTGGAGAGGGTGCTATGATTAGGATTCACACATGCGAGTAGTTCAGCTGTGGAACTGGCTGCCTAGGGACATGGTGAGCTCCCCCTCACTGGCAGTCTTCAAGCAGTGGCTGGACGAACACTCGTCAGAGATGTTTTAGGCTGATCCTGCACTGAGCAGGGGGTTGGACTAGATGGCCATCTGTACCCCTCAGTTTCAAGTGTTTATAAAGGTCACAGTTGCTTCTGTATCTAAACATCCCACAACAGCGATACAGAACAATACAGTTCGAAAATGGGGGGGGGGGGGCCCTTTCTGGAGGGGGGGGAAACCTCTCTGGAAGCGAGGCAAAGCAATTGGTATCTTTGTGGGGTTATTTTTAAACACACCCTATTGTATAAACTTTGGTTTCACAGTGATATTCTGCACTCTATAATGCACAACAGAGTGTGCGGAGGTCACCCACAATTGCAAGGCCTCGTGGAGCCCACAATTCTTTCAAGGGCAGACTTGATTTTGTTCTCCACATCTGAATACAGCAATATGGGAAGGGGGGGGGAGACACATGTCATCATTATGTATTCTTATCATTTCTTATTTGTACAAAATACACTGGCAGCTGCGGCTGACATCTTCGGGGTTCATGTAAATTATATGCTAATTTTAATCGATTACAGCTAATCCATGCAAATATTAAAATACTCAGACCTTATGTCTTTACAGTAATCGCTGCGGCTGCAGGCAGAATTAAAACTTTGGTACGGTGACCTACGTGGTGCCACCTCTATCTTGGCCTTCCAATCCCTCCTTAAAATTCACTTCTTGTACCAAGTCTGCGGCTTAACCCCTCATTCCTCCTCTCCAACTATATTTAAGCTGTTCCTCCTTTGTTACTCTTCCTATCAGTCGCCTGTTCTCCTTTTTCTCCGTTCCCTTCCCCTAGACCTTTGCTGCCTCCTCCACTGTAGATATTTAGACTGTAAGCTCTTTGGGGGCAGAGACCTGCATTTTTAGCTATATTTAAGGTTGCCAGTCTCCAGGTGGTGGCTGGAGATCTCCCGGAATTATAATTGGTCTCCAGGTTACAGAGATCAGTTCCTCTGGAGAAAAGGGCTGCTTTGCAAGCTGGACTCTATGGCATTATATCCCACGTAGGTCCCTCCCTAAACCACGCCCTCCTCAGGCTCCACCTCCAAAATCTCCAGGTATTTCATAACCCAGAGCCAGCAACCCTACTTATGTTATTCTAGTAAAGGTTTCCCTTGCTTGAAAGCCAGTCGAATCTGACTCTAAGGGGCAGTGCTCATCTCCATTTCCAAGCCGAAGGGCCAGCGCTGTCCGAAGACGTTTTCGTGGTCATGTGGCCGGAAGACTAATTTACTCTACACATATCATAATATCACCATATAAATTAACATAATAATGTTTTCCTACAGCAGCAACGCTAAACTTTAGGGAGCCATAATGCCTTGGGAAGATTACGCCATACCTAACGTATCTGCCGGCGGCCTGCCGAAAGCACTGGGAGAGAAAGACGGGGATGAGACCACTCTGCCCCAAGCGTTCATGGGTTTCTTCCTGAGCGGAGGATGCGGCGAAGTCCCACTTGCCCCGTAGGTCCAGCTACTGCTGGCGTGAGGTAGCGGATGCGACTGAAGGAATGGAAACTGAGACGCCGCTGCCGGAAGAGCTTTCATCTCTGTGACTACCTGCAGCTGCCCGGGCCAGGCAGCACGGCGCGTCACTGGTGGACACGATACCTGCAGTGGGAAATGCCACAGAACGGGAGAAGCCTTACACTTCTGTATTGCGATTCAGGTGGCTAGCCATGTTGGTCTGAAGCAACAGAACAAAGTTTGAGTCCGGTGGCACCTTTAAGACCAACAAAGTTTAATTCTGGTCTTAAAGGTGCTACTGGATTCAAACTTGCTTCTGTATTAAATGTTAACTCACACCCCTGTTACAAAGGCAATTTGACTATCAAATACAGGGCAGTGTCTCCTGAATGGACCTTCCCAGGGCCTGTGCTCAGCACTTAAGGTGAAATGATCCAGTGTTCCCCCTAAGCTGAGTTAGTGTGAGCTAGCTCACAGTTTTTTAGCCTCCGGCTCACACATTTTTGTCTCAGCTCAGGAAGGAGGGCTCCGGAGCACACTAACTGATGCAGCAGCCAAATCGCTCGCTCACAACTTTAATGCCGGCAGCTCACAAAGAAGAATTTTTGCTCACAAGACTCCACAGCTTAGAGGGAACATTCCAAATGTGTGTCTCTGGTAAGTTCAACTGCAAAAAGCTGCCGTGCGACTGGAATGAAACCTCTTCCGCTGCCGTGCACCCACATGTCTAATTTCACAGATGCAAGGTATGGTTATTGGAAAAAGCTTACGTAGGGAACCAACAACAATCAACAGTATATATACACTGAAATACAGTTGTTAAGTTCAACGCATACTTGTTAGTAAACAATCCGCATTTATTATCTTATCTTAATACAAATCACTCTACAACTAATAACAACAAACTATAAAAAGAGTACAAACAAATGGAGAGGAGAAAATGTCCAGTGAAACTTTCCAAATCTGCAAAAATAGATCACAGGGTCCCGGATGTCCTATGTCCCCTGTTGCGTCCTAGCAGACTTCGTCAGTGGGGAAAGCAGTGGTCTTTGGCGAGAGAGGCTTGCACGGACATCTAGAACTGGTGCTACAGAAGCCGTGCAAGACAGCGGACAAGATATTTACCTTTCGAGGACGAAAGGACAACCAACCAACCAACCAACAACACAGCTCTCAGGACTTGCATGGCCTAGATGCACAGGGTCAAGAAATGCATTCTGTTGCATCCACTTCGTTGCACTGCCATGCCCACGTGTATTCTCCAAGATTTGTGGAAAACAAAACTGCTACCCGCTGTCCAAGAGCTTGGCCATCTCTAGGCGACATTCCCATATGCATCTGGCACAGGGGTTATTTCGTAGAAAAGGAGCTAGGGGAACTCATTAGCATATGCCACACCCCCTGACATCACCGGAAGTGTGTCATAAGGCCACACCCCCTGACATCACCGGACGTGTGTCATAAGGCCACACACCCCGCCCCCAACAGTCCCGGCCGCCTCCACCGGCCTTGCTGCTCCACTGCCAAGCCCCATGAGGGGCCCGGCGGTGGACCTGCAAGGCCGGTGGGAGTGCAAGGAAGCCCTGCGAAGGCCCTCCCTGGCCCCAGGCAGGCAGGGGTGGGGAGAGGCAGGGATGAACAACTTACCCTCCCTCTTCTCCTGCCTCCTCCTGGCTGAATGAGGGCCGGGAACGGGGCGGACGGAAGCAGGGGGCGGGGCTTCGTCATGTGCCCTGCCCCCTTACCTAACCCGGGGGAACTGTGTTCCCCCACGTTCCCTCCCGAAATGACCTCTGATCTGGCAGACATCTCTCTAATATGTACATGGGGCAAACTACAGCTGAACAGGCCAAAAGGGGGAAAAGGGAATGGAGGCCAGGGTCTAGAGAGGAGGCAGCAAGGGAGGGAGGGGCAGCCAAGGATGCAGCAAGGCCTACTGAGAAGATCAGGTTATAGCCTTTCATGCTAGAAGCACACTGAGAGAAAGGGGCCTAGTGTTTGAATACAAGAAGCTGCCTTATATGGAATGTTGTCCTATCAAGGTCAGTATTGTCTACTCAGACTGGCAGCACCTCTTGAGAGTCTCAGGGTCTTTCACATCACCTGCTACTTGATCCTTTTTACTGGAGATATCGGGGATTGAACCTGCGACCTTCCTGCATGCAAAGGAGATGTTCTACCACTGAGAAACGGTAACATACCTATGCAGTGACCTTAGTAATCTGTTACCTTTTCCTGAGGAGCGCTCTCGACCACAAGCTCAAAGCCGGTTCCATTGGAGCCAAACTGCAAAACATCTCCAGGGCTAACTTTCACTGCTGCGTTCTGGATGTGGCAATCGTTGACAAACGTTCCATGAGTGGAGTTGAAATCTCGGAGGACGAAGACGTTTTCTGACTCCGTGAACTCGATAGCGGCATGATGATCGTCAACATTTGGAGACTGCAGGTTCAAATATTAGAAGTGAAAGCATTAGAGAGCACACACACAACCCAGAGATCCAGAACGTTAAAAGATATTTTTGTCAGATTTTAATCATTTGCTATTTTGCCGCTTCTGGCTAGTGGTACACCCTTTGCTAGGCAAAGCACAGCAAGATTTCCCCTCTAGCACGGCAGGCGAGTTCGTATCTTTTTAACCCTTCCCATGCTTGTGAAAAACCGGACCTTTCAGTGGTTATTGTTAAAAATGGATTTTGCTGAATAATTAACAGTCAACAAAGCAGCCACTCCTCTTCGCAAGGAGGATAGTTTCAGCAGCTAACCAATACTGCGACGTGATTTCCTGCTACGGTTTTTAGCCTTTCAAAATTATCTTCAAAGAATCCCTTTCTGCACTGACACTTGCCAAGAAATCCCTGTGCACTGTAGGAGGTTTCAGCACATGTTGTATAGTACGCTAGCCAGTCCACATGGAATGGGAAAGGGGCCCAACTCTGGTGGCCCCTCTTTCACTAAGTGTGCTGCCCCCTTACGTGCATATGCACAAGCATACAGACACACACCCAGGGCTTTTTTTGTAGAAAAAGCCCAGCAGGAACTCATTAGCATAATAGGCCACACCTAACAGCTGAAACTCATTAGCATATTAGGCCGCACCCCCATGTTACCAGAAGTGTGGTCATCCAGCCACACCCACCTTTTGCTTCTTATTCCGTTTACCTTGTTTGTTGTCAAAACCCAGGGCCTTTTTTGGTAGCAGGAACTCCTTTGCATGTTAGGCCACACACCCCTAATGTAGCCAATCCTAACGAGTTCCTGCTGTTGGGCGTGGCCTGTTATGCTAATGGGTTCTTGCTGGGCGTGGCCAACTTGGGAGCCAGCCGGAATTCCGTTCCTGTGCGTTCCTGCCCAAAAATAGCCCTGCACACACCCATATCCTGAAAGCTAGAGTAGAGCTTGACTTTTTTGACTCTTCTGGAAGCATGGTCAATGCTGACTGGAGCTCAAAAAGGAACAGGAGAGTCACATTCTCCTCCTTTCTATGGGTGGCCAAGTCTGAACAACAAATGAAAGACTTTGGGGCAATTTCCCATTCCTGGAGGAAGCAGAGGGGCTAAGCATCTCTGATGGATCATGGCCTCAACAAATACCTGACCATGCAGACCTTTAATGCTGGCCCTACTGGGCTTCATATCTGCATTGCAAGATCCTACAATGACCCTAAACATACTGGTTTTTCACTAGGATCTCAAAGGGGGGGGGTCACTCCAGGGACACACCAACCATTTTCTTCATCTGTTTAAGAAACAGCATGGCGGCTTGGATCACCACGTGAGCTGCTTGTTGGTGTCCCTTTTTGTGGCCTTTTCTCAATTACAGTCCCTGCTTTATGGGCGCATCCTCTGTGCGCATGTTACAGAAAGGCCTCTTTGCACATTTTCAGAAACTCATCCATTCCCACAGCGAAATATTTCTGGCAATTCAGGTTGATAGAATCTGCAAAATCATAGAGGATTCTAGTGCTCTCGAGCCTAGATGGCACTCTTTAAGGCACACACTGTAGAATTTAATACTTTGCCACATAGGCAACTTATTGTCCAGTGACTCTTCCTAGAAAGGAAAATTACTGCCGCTCCATGGTAGAGTCACAGCTATACTGGAAGAAAGCCTGGTTCACTTCTCTCTGGAAAACTTCAGCCCTGGATATGTTGACTAACGATGCCACCCTAAACAGAGTTACACCCTTCTAAGCCCGCTGAAGTCAACAAGCTGAGAGAGGTGTGGCTCTGTTTAGGATAGCACTCGTGGGTACTGACTTGCATAGCCAGAAAAGACATACACCAGAGAACCTGGAGAACGGCTGGTAATTGGAGAAGGCCAGGCCTGCGCTGTTTCTGACTTGGAGACAAAATAGATAATGGCAAGAGATTCATCCATTGGTAAATGGCAAATTAGGCATACAGGCAGCTGCAGTTTGGATGGAGGTATTATAGGAAGGGGAGAGCAATTTAACCCTCAAGCCTCGGCTTGGTTTTGTTAATGGAAGCTGGGTTTTCTGTGTTGTTATTAAAATTTTAAAGGAAGAAAAATACACACGTGCTTTAGGGGGGGCATGTGTTTTTCCCACTACAACTGCTAAAAGCAGTGCAGGAACCCAGAGAAATCAAGCAGAGGTTGAAGAGTGAAAGCTCTTCCTTTCCTGCATGGCCCACCTGATGTATATCATGCACATAATTTACCACTTACAGACTGCCAGAAATTGTACTTCTATCAGATCTGGTTTGACCTTCGCAAAGCAGCTGCAACCTACAATGTCCTTTTTTTTTTCCTTTCTGCAAAAAGGGGAAATCTATTGAGCTCTTAGCAGGAACCACGTAGTATTGATAGGCCACCAGTCTGAGGTAAGCATTGGTGGGCTGGGTAGGCTACTGTGTTCACCCAGAAGTCAATGTAATGTAGCAGTTAGATGAAGACCTGTCAAACCCAGGATCGAATTCCCCTTGGCCATGAAGTCTGCTGGAGGACCCTGGCCAGCCAGTCATGACCTACCTCTCTGGGTTGTTGTGAGAATAAAACGGAAGAGAGGAGAACCATGTGTGCTGTCCTAAGCTCTTTGGAAGAAAGGCAGGATTAAAAAAAAAAAAGATTGCATAAGGCATAGCGGTGCCATGTGAACAACTGCAGAGAGGTGGTTTCAAGGTGGGTAGCCATTTGGTCTGTAGTAGAAAGGAAAGATCTGAGTACAGTAGCACCTTAAAAGACCAACAAGGGCCCCGGTCACACGGGAGGCTTTGATCCGCGAGAGGGACGGATTGGGGGGGGGGGCGCAGCAAGCGGACGCGATCACACCGCAACATCTGGGAAGCAGCGCACACCCGTCCCTGATCCGTCTCTTCCGGCAAAAGATGCAGATCAAAAAAAACCCCTACAAAACACTACTTACCTGAAAATCCGCAGCAGGGGCGGCCGTGGGATTGCCGGCGTGCCCGTCTCCGGCAGCATGCGAGGCCCCCGGCCAAACATGCGCAGCGGGCTGCCTCGCTCACCGATCTGTGGCTTCCCTCCCGGCATCTGATCGTACTGGGGAGCAACTGCATGGCGGCTTGGGGTATCTGTCTGATCCCGCCGCCGCGTGTCTCTTTTGATGCGGCTCAAAAAAGCCGCACTTCAGCCACACCTTTCCCTCCAGTGTGACCGGGGCCCAGGTTTCCAGAGGATAAGCTTTCGAGAGCCAAAGCTCCCTTTGTATCTGACGAAGGAAGCTTTGACTTGAGTCTTGAAAGGTTATACCCTGAAAATCATACTGGTCTTTCAGGTGCTACTGGCTTCACATCTCGCAGAGAGGTGGTGGAGCTTCCCCTCCCAAAATCCTGGCGCATATACCACTTACAAACAGGGGACGAAACTAACCAGTGTTTCTTAACAAAGGAAAGATCATTCCACAAGAAGAAAAAGGCTGTAAAAACCCGTATAAGAGCCTCCGTGACCCGGAGCAACGGGCAGCATCTGTAATCCTTATATAATCACCTTAAGGATAATGTCTGAATCTTCGTGCCTTCCTAAAGTAGTTATCTTTGGCCTCAGAACAAAAATACCATCTGAACTCTTGAGAAAAGCTTTCATCGTTGTTATTACCTGTAAAACATACACAAGCTGCATATCTGTTACACTTAATTAATACATCTTCAAACAGCGCCTAGGCGCAAATATTCATTCTGCACGAGCTTAGACAAAAGGAGGAATTGTGTTTCTTACACTCTCTGGACTTCTTTAATAAATATCCCACCTGTACTGAGGCGAGGGGGAGAAGGGAAGGAGAATCTACAGTTGCCCTCAGGGGTAAGGAAAAGAATGTTCTCCGCACATGGGTTCATCTCTTTTGCCCTTAAAATCCCAGAGATGTGGAATTTCTATAATTGCGCTTAGGATATTGGGGAGGAATTGAGAACCTAAACTCTTTAGAGAAAAGGAAGAATATATATTTTAAAAAGAAGAAAAGAAAAACAGCATAAGGCTGCTCATGCATTTTAACAATTATAAAAAGCTACTCGATGTCTCCAACCACCACTCCATGCCCCAGTCACTAATGAATTATGAAAATAATGCATACTCTGCACATGCTTAGGAAAGAGTTTCCCTGTCTTAGGCTCGAAAGTCCTGGAGAGAGAAACCTGAGGTCCCTAAAACTTATTGCACTCAAATCTCAGAAATTGCATTCAAAATTCTGCACATGCAGCAGGGATCTTCGGGAGTGAAGAAGCCGTGTGAGGGAAAGGGGTCGCTCTCGCTTCTTTTTTTACGATTTGGCATTGGAAATAAAAAACGGAGCTAATTAAAAAAGAAGCCCTGCAGTCACCCACCCACCCAGACACATGGAGAGCAATGCTCCCTCTAAGCTGTGGAGTCCTGTGAGCAAAAATTCTACTTTGTGAGCTCCTGGCATTAAAGCTGTGAACGAGCGATTTGGCTACTGCATAAATTAGTTTGCTCTGGAGCCCTCCTTCCTGAGCTAAGACAAAAATGTGTGAGCCAGAGGCTAAAAGACTGCGAGCTAGCTCACACGAACTCAGCTTAGAGGGAACATTGATGGAGAGGAGGGGAGAATGAATGCCATGGAGGAAGCGGAAACAAACCCCTGGCAGTCAAGGAAGGGTTTTTTTTGAGGTTTCGAAATGGAGCCTGCCTCGGCGCTGCACCACCCTCGCCTACGGAGAAGAGCCCGGGGATTCCCTGCCGCTTGAGCCGCTCACCACCTGCAAATCGCGCCGAGCACAAGCCTTGCCCTCCTGCCGCAGCCGCCGCCTCGGAAAGGCCCCGCGTGTGTCTCCTCCGGGCTGGTAGCCATGGCAACCGAGCAGGCCCGACTAGGCCGCCGCCGCCGCCACCTGGAGCACGCAGAACAAACCGTCCCTTCTTCTCATCACCTCTTGGGTTTCTCCCCCGTGACCCCACATACTTCATTGCAGGTGTTTTGAAAGCTATTAAAACCACGAGGTTTTTTTTGTTTTTTAACCCAGTAACAGATAAAAATTAAGACACAGTCCCCGGCTTAAAAAACTGCAACCAGAGGAGCTGCTGGTTTGGTCACCAGCAAGTGTTATTAATAATATAAAACTATTCTGATGACAGTAGAGAGGCCATCTAGGGATGACCCCAAAAAGGAAGGACAATCGATGCAGGGGGGGGACAAATATGCATAACATTTATATATGCTAATTTACGATGGTTGTTGCTCAGTCGCACAGTCGAGTCCAACTCTTTGTGACCCATGGACCACCTGCCTTCCGCCATCCTCTGGAGTCTGTTCAATTTCATGTTCGTTGCAAAGATAACACTAACCATCTCATCCTTTGCCGAATTTACATGATTACCAGGTGCATACATAAGTATGTATCACTTATGCTCTACTTTTCTCTCCAGTGGAGACAACATGTTTTCTCCCTTCTCCAGTTTATCCTCACGACAACCCTGCAAGGTAGGTCAGACTGAGAGAGCAACTAGCCCCAAGTCACACAGTTTCCATTGCAGAGTAGGGATTCAGTGGCAGCTTCCATGGCAGAGAAGGCATTTCTCCCTGGGTGAGAGTCCATCTGGTATAATGGTTGGAGCATTGTACTAGGATTGTGGAAAATACCATCAACATTCAAATTCCCACTCGGGCATGGAACTCACCGTATGACTTTGGCTCAAGTACTGTTACTCTCCCTGACTTTACTAGTTTTTTGTGAGGATTAAAGGGGACAGGGGAGCAGAGATTCATTAATGCTGTTCCAAACGCCATGGAAGGTCAGGATAAAATATGATAGACATTTGGCATGCACACACAGACATACACACAAAGAATCTTGCGGCGCCTTGAAAGGTTTCTTGTAGCATATGGCTTTTGTGGATAGAACTCAGTTTACTGAAGCTCCCTCCCCCAGCTGATAGCAAATTCCTGACAACCCCCCCCCCACATGGGGGCAGCCCTAGGAGAAAAATAACATTACAACTGTTTTTTCTGATTTGGTGGTAGGCTTGGTGTCCAACAATTTTTCATCTGGGAGGCGCCTGAAGAAAATTAAGATGTAGACAAGTGACTGATATCAATCTTGACTTAAGTGCAGTGCTGGCAGGAAAGAAGAACTTAATCAGACTTTGCGTGTTCCAAGCATCTTGTTTCCCATCAGCCTGCGGCCTCTATCCATACAACTGTAGGTAGGGCAGGCACTGCAAGACCACAACCTCAACAAGCAAGTGCAGAGTCTGGGTGTCTGGCACAGAACACAATGCCTTCTCTTTTCTTCAGCTCTCTCCCACCCCAAAGATCTTGTCTACTGAAATCTCAGCAGCAGCTAGGTGTGTGCACATGTACATGTGTGGGGAGACGCACGAATGGAATTGTAAGGCATCAGTGTCTGCAGAAAATGCTATTGGACCTGAACTGTTAACCTTTGTGGTATCTTTCCTAGAGTTGGGGGCGGGCTAGAAATCACAAGTTATGGGTGGGTTGATGAGCAACGCAAGAGACTTAGCTTCCTTTTCCCTTGGAGCAGGTGACTGTGACACCATGCTAAGCACCAGTTGAGATTCTCTTTCTTTTCAGGTGTTCAAGTGTGTAAAACCAGGGGTTCCCAATGTCGTGCCCGCCAACACTTTTCCTGGCGCCTGCCAAGTGTTTTGAGAACGTGGGCCGTACACCAGGTGGGACTTTTGACTAGCAAGGCTTCTGATTTGGCCACTGGAGATTTGGTAGGCTGTGCAGATTTTTTGAAAACAGTGCTTCGGCAGCAGCTGCCCCACAGCACAAGGATCTTCAATGTGTGACTGAAGGTAAGCTACAGCAAACACTTTGTGGCTGGCTCCGCCTCCTGCAGCGGCCATTTTTGGCTGCACCCACCATGTTGTGTCCGAATTCCAAAGTCGCCCACAGGTTCAAAAAGTTTGGGGACCCCTGGTGTAGACTATCCAGTTCAGAAAGCTGCCAACATGCATAAAATTCAGATCAGAGGAACGAATAAAACACAACAAAGGTGAACTGTGAGACTTCTCTGTAGTGTGGTGGTGAAGAGTGGCGGACTCTAATCAGGAGAGCCAGGTTTGATTCCCAACTCCTCCACATGCAGGCAGCTGGGTGACCTTGGGTGAGACACAGGTCTCAGAGCTGTTCTCTCAAGAGCAGTTCTCTCAAAGCTCTTTCAGCCCCACCTACCTCACAGGGTGTCTATTGTTGTGTGGAGAGGAAGGGAAGGAGATTGTGAGCTGCTCTGAAACTCCAAGTGAAGGGCAGGGCAGGGCAGGGCATAAATCCAACTCTTCTTCTTCCCCAAAGGCCAGGATTCCTATAGTGATATTGGTAGCCTTCCAAAAAAGGCTCTGCCTACGTTGAGTTTTACAGCCAAGAGGCAACCATAACCGCTCCAATCTCCTCATCTGATGCATTGAACACACACCCATCCATTTCTTTGCATGACAAACAACAATCCAGGGCTCTTTTTCTAGAAAAAGCCCAGCAGGAACTCATTAGCATAACAGGCCACACCCAACAGCAGAAACACATTAGCATATTAGGCCACACCCCTGACAGCACAGCTCATTAGCACATTAGGCTGCACCCCCATGTTACCAGAAGTGTGGTTATCCAGCCACACCCACCTTTTGCTTGTTGTTCTGTTTACCTTGTTTTGTAGCAGGAACTCCTTTGCATGTTAGGCCACACCCCCCTAATGTAGCCAATTCTAATGAGTTCCTGCTGTTGGGTGTGGCCTATTATGCTAATGAGTTCCTGCTGGGCGTGGCCAACTTGGGAGCCAGCCGGCACTCCGTTCCTGTGCGTTCCTGCCCAAAAATAGCCCTGATTGTCGCATACCCTCAAACTGGCATATTTCAAGGGCGGGGGGAGGAAGAACCTTGGGAGAGGCTGTGGTTCAGTGGGAAAAGCCATGTTGCACACAGAATGCCCTCACTTCAAGCCCTGGCATCCCCAGTTAATGATGTTCAAATACCAGGTGCCAGGAAAGTCCTGTTTCTGCCCAAGAGCTGCCACCACTCAAAGGGGACAAGTCTGAGTTACGCAACAGGACATGACTCGGGAGACGACAGCAGGTATATGGGGATGAGCCACCCCTCTGTACCTGATTCAAGCTCCATTTAGAAGATCACAGGTGTTAGGAATGCCCCTTGGCTGCCTGGAACCAGAGAGCTACTGCCAGTCAGAAGAACCAATACTGAGCTAAGTGGACCAATGGTTTTAGTCAATATAAAGCAGCTTCGTATGTCCATTTATTAAGCATTTCAAGTGTCAGCAGCATACTTTGCCCCAGACAGCATAATTATTACAACTGTGTATGTGTGGTAGTCAGGATTCTGCCAGTGTCAGCAGTACCAGGGGATTTTTGTTTGGGATATGGTAATGTGGTAGGGATGCCAGCCTCCAGGTGAGACTTGGGGATCCCCTGGAATTACAGCTCATCTCCAGAGTACAAAGATCAGTTCCCCTGGAGAAAATGGATGCTTTGGAGGGTGGACCCCATGGCATTGTACCCCATTGAGGTCCCTGTCCTCACCAGGCTCCTTCTTCAAATCTCCAGGAGTTTCCCAATTGGCATCCAGCAATCATTACCCCCCTCCCAATTCCCTGCTGGTGGCCAGGGGTGACCTGGCAACCCTCAGGGTTGAGGTTGCCATTGTAAACACACTTGCTAGACAGTTAAGTCCAATTGAACTCTATGGGATTTACTTGCGAGCATACATGTTTAGAAGAAGAGAGAAGGGATTGGATTTATACCCCGTCCTTCACTACCCAAAGGTGTCTCAGAGCGGCTTACAAACTCCTTTTCCTTCCCCTCCCCACAACAGACACCCTGGGAGGTAGGTGGGGCTGAGAGAGCTCTGGAAGAAACTGCCCTTGGGAGAACAGCTCTGAAAGAACTTGCGACTGACCCAAGGTCACACCAGCAGCTGCAAGTGGAGGAGTGGGGAATCAAACCCGGTTCTCCCAGACTAGAGTCCGCGCACTTAACCACTACACCAGACTGGCTCTCCCCAAGTCTCACCTGGAGGCTGGCATCTCTACCACATTACCATATCCCAAACAGGATGACAGTGGCAAAGATGATAAAAGCTGCTGGTACTGATAGGCTGATCGGGCATGATACCAGAGCAACCGGGTGGGCAGAAAGGTTTTGAGCTGCTCTCTGTGGAGTTTCTCTGGCCCTAACGAAGAGTAGGGCAGGCAGAAAGGCACAGGGAAAGAAAAGAACAGAAAAAGAGGCCTGGGGCATGACAAGGAAGCACCCAGAAGACTGAGCAGGGAAAAATCCAGAGGAAGGAAGTGGGTGTGTACATGTGGGGAAAGGGCAGCAGAGAGCTGCATAAGGTCAGGAGCTGCGAAGATGATTCTCAAATACCTATTTGATCTCAGACAGCCTTTGCCTACAGACCTCTAATAATGCTGTGAACGTCTACCTTTTACGTTTTTTTTTTAAAGTTCTTTGCAGGCTATATCCTTCTCTGCTACCCTAACTCTGGTGAAGGGAAGCCTGTTTCTAGCCCGACTGCAAAAACACAGAGGCAAGGAATCGCACAGGTCTGCTCCCCAGCACATTTTATAAAAACGTGCTCTGATGATTGTGCAAAACATTCCGACACAATGGAAAACTGCTGTTTCTTAGGCCTGCTGGCGTCTAGGTATTCTCGGTGCCGTAAGCCAAGATTTTGAAATAAACTGCCTCTTAGGAACGCTTTAACCCATGAATCTTTTCTCTCTTTTTTTTTGGCAGTGGAAGCCTGTCAAGAGTGGCCAGTGAAATCCCTGGAGGAGGATGCAGGAGCCCACCAGTTCCCTAAGAGGTTTCCCCATCGGTTTGACAGCCAAAGTAAATCATTTGACGGACAAGGCCATCTGGGAATTCAAGTGTCAGGCTAGGGCCCAGTTCGGTCTGAAGCTCACTGGGTGATCTTAGGTCAGTTGCTTTCTCTATACTCGATATGCGTCATAGGACTGTTGTGAGGGTAAAAGCCGAAAAGGAGAAAGGGAACCATGAGTACGGGTAAACCGCCTAGAATAGGGACCCAAACATGGTTCCCGCCAACACCTTTTTCTAGCACCCGCCATGTATTTTTAGAAAGTGGGCAGGGCCACGACAGGTGGGGCTTTTGCCAGGCAAGGCTTTTGATTGGCCATTGGAGATTTGATTGGCTTTTAAAAAATGTTTTGACAGCAGCTGCCACCGCAGCACAAGGATCTTTGCTGTGTAACGGAAAGTAAGCTGTGGCTGCCATTTTGTGGCTGGCTGCACCTCTCACCAATGTTCCCTCTAAGCTGTAGAGTCTTGTGAGCAAAAATTCTACTTTGTGAGCTACTGGCATTAAGGTTGTGAGCAAGCGATTTGGCTACTGCATAAATTAGTTTGCTCTGGAGCCATCCTTCCTGAGCTGAGACAAAAATGTGTGAGCTGGAGGCTAAAAAACTGTGAGCTAGCTCACACTAATTCAGCTTAGAGGGAACACTGCCTCTCACAGCAGCCATTTTGTGGCTGCGCATACAATGCCACATGTCAGAATTGCCCATGAGCTCAAAAAAGTTGGGGGCCCCTAGGCTTAGAGGAACGATGGGAGAGAAGATCCTACCCTCCGTCCCCACCCCCACCACATGAGAATATGTCTGGCCCAAGGTTAATTTCATGGGCAAGTGGGAATTTGAACATTGGGCCTTCCTGGCCTTAAGCCTAACACTGACCATTACACAACACTGGCTTGATGTTCTTTTCCCTGCTATCGTGTCCTAGAAGTGGGACCAGGCCATTCCAAGTTGTAGAAATCCAACCCACCAGTGATTTCTGCATCTTGCCATACCTTAAACCAGGGGTCATTTCCTGCAGGAGCGCACAGGAGCAGAGCTCCGGCAGTAAAGAGCCCAGGGGGCGGGCACATGCAACAAGCCCCGCCCCTGCTCCCAGCAGCCCTGGGCCACGAGGAGCAAGAAGCAGCCAGGTAAGTTGCAGAGCCCCCCCATAGATAGCAATCCAAAACAGTCCAGTGGCAGCTTTAAGGCCAAGGTTTATTCAGGTACAAGGTCTCCCTCCTCTGCGAGGGCAGATCTGTGTGGGAACCCCCCCCCCCCAAGCTAGCAATCCAAAACAGTCCAGTGGAGCCTGAGCAGTGGGTGTGGCCTTCTGACACACTTCTGGTGATGTCAGGGGGTGTGGCATATGCAAATAAGTTATGCTAATGAACTCCTGCACCTCTTTTTCTACGAAATGACCCCTGCCTTAAATGAACATTTACCTGGGGAAACTTTCAAGCACTTGGTTACTCCAGTTTTAGGACACAAACTTCCTGTATATTTATGGGGGGGGGGATGTCTCTTTTACAGAGCATCCTGGTTCTAACCTAAATGTTACATTCTTGAAATGATTATTTTCCCCCTCTTATAGGAGCGCAGCTGCAGAAGTCATGAGACTGCACATCAGAAAAACAAATGGTACCCTTATCACGACCCCCTCCCATCTTTGCCTGTGTCTCTCTGAGCAAGGCATGCTTCTTTAGTACTGTACCAACAGCCTGATTCTATTTACTCGGAAGTCAGTCCCGCTGAGTTCAATGGGTCTTACTCTCCAGTAAGTGCACAGGGTTCCACCCTAACGTTTGATGAAGTCCGTATCTTATGGACTTTAGAGTTCTTTTTTACTTTTTGACTCTGTAATGCTGTGCTCCACAGTGATGGAAGCAAAGTTTTTGGGGTTTTTTTTTACACATTTGTTCTCAAAACCACTTCAAACCACAGTGAAGCACTGTGGGTAACCCTGTCCCAGTGAAGAAGAAGGGGGAAAAAAGCAAAGAGGTTACTTTGACAACCATGACAAATCTGGAGTGCTAGTTCTTTTTTAAAAAAAAGATTTTTACCCAAGAGGCATACAAAAATGTGTCATATCTTAGAAATATATGGAGAGATAGAAAAAGATTCTTGTAGCTAAGATTCTATCCGACACACGCACACACACTAAGTGCCTTCCTGAATTTAATTACACAGGATATGGCCGGATTCACCCAGGGGCTCTAGTTGTCATTGAGGAAGTAAACGTGAATTTGGGTTGTACCATTTCAGGGGAAGACCCCTGTAACAAAATACTCCTGCGCATACAAAGAGACGTCTCAACTGCACAGCGGCATTGGGATACCACTTCCAGCAATCAAAGCATTTAACATAAATCATCACCGTTATCCTCACAACAGCCCTGTAAGGCAGGCTGTTGCCATTATCCTCATAATGCAAACAGACTGTGGGGGTGGGCACCTCATTAGTGAGTTCGAGATCTGAAACCTGCCAGATGACATCTCTCAGCCACAATGTACAGCTCCCATAAGCTGTTTGAGATGTAACATGGGGTGTGGAGTTGGTATGCAGTTCAAAAGATAGGGCGGAGAAGGCACGAATTTCACAGGACGTGCCCAAGAATTTGGATTTTGGTGTGGCTAAGGTAGTTTTTCAGGAACTCTGCTTTAGGAAACTCCACCGGATGTTTCTTTTCTACATGGCAGAGAATAGTTTTATACAGAGGAAAATTCATTCTAAGTGTCCTGAAGTGATACATTCCCTATAGTCTGACCACCTCCACACGAAACGGGCCTTGGTCTCCTCAGGGAATAAGGACATGCTCCATGACAGCTCCTCTGAGAAGCTGTGGCAGTCATGAAACCGCCCTCCGAAACCAAGTATACAATAGTGTTTTAGACACATTTAAAACCAGTCCACTAGGCTGAATTAGGTCTCTTCCCTGGTCTCTGGAAATTTCTGAGAAATCTCTTCATAGTGCGGGGGTGGAGTCAGAGGCTCTATCGTCACACGGCCCGAACTGTTTCCGTCCGGCACATTTATACGGATGTCTTTGAGGTGGAGCTTCTCAGACTTGATTCTCCGGACTTTCAAGGGCCGGAGTCTTTTGCTCAGGCGGGAACTCCGTCTGCTCGGCTGGCGTTCCACGTTGGGACCTCCTTCAGCTGCAGCGGCGGGTCGGGTTGGTGTATCTCCGTCTATCCCAGTTAGAGACTCGTACGAGGGGAGGGACACGCTGATACGTGTGCTCCGGTCCACTTCTCTCAGGTCTGGGTAGTCCGTGTTCATGACCTCTTCGTAGCTGGGCACATAATAGCGGGGCGGTGTTTCCTCGTCCTCATCTTGACTGTAAGAGGGGAATTTTAAACTGGTAAATTAGCTTGCTTCACCCGCACATCATTCCGTTTTCCACTCCCACCCCCAATGAAGGACTTTTGCACAAACTAAACTACAATTAAGGCCCTCCGGTTATAAGGGACCACTAAATACACCTCCCCAATGACTATATTACCATTTTTGGGCTATTTTTAATTTCATTTATACCCTGCCTTTCTCCCCAGTGGGGAGACCCAAAGTGGCTTACATAATTCTCCTGTCTCCCGTTTTATCTTCACAACAGCCCTGTGAGGTAGCTGAGGCTGAGAGCATGTGACTGGCCCAAGGTCACCCATGTCATCAAACAGTGCATCGCCTCCTGCTTACAAACCAGCAGTTTGATTGTTTCTTTTTACAAGCTAGGATTAAAGTGCTCGCTTTGGAAATCACAGCAAATCACGGCTTCTTGGAACCTCCTGGTTTGCAATTCAGGTGCTAAGCGGAAGGCGTCCGCAAGCCAAATGAATCGGACAAACTGAGGCTTCTTTGTCATCTGAATTTAGCCACTAGTTTGCTGAGAAAGAAATTAAGAGATCAGGTTGACTTGTAGTGGCTTCATGGAGATTCATGGGGCGCCTGGCTAATATTAACAGCTTAATATTATAGCTGTTGCCTCAAGGGGGTGCAATGCAGAAAGAGCGAGGCGTACTTAGATTCAGAAAGGTTAACTTCCAGTGGACTGAACTCAATGAACTTTTCCAGCAGGAAGCAAATTAACAGCCAATGTAAGGCCACAACCGGTCATATGACCACGAATGCAACCAACCGTCTAGTCGCCTTGGCGAGTAGAATAGTGTTCCTGGGGAGCAGGCAGGGATTCACTGCCTCTTAACACACAGCTGTCTTCTGGCTTTTTAACAAAATGGCGGGCTTTTTGAAAAAATAGTATATTGGAAGGGAGTTTGCTGTTTGCGACTTTTAATAAAAGCAAGCGTTGGTCATGTCTCACGTAGGAGGAACAGGGTTATCAAATGAACTCGCCAATTGGTAGACTGCATATCTCTCAAGAATTTCAGTGTCAAGGAAAAGAATCCCCACTTTTCCCCTAGAGATGGGTGGCGGCATTCTCTCCCTTTTCACTGGTTTCTCTTTGCTTTCAGAGGACATCGAGTCAGCACAAAGGGAGGGAGAGCCACAGCCCTTCTCTAGCCTTGGGAGAAGTATGGCCCTTCTTCCCGTCATTATATCAGCCTGTAGTGGTTAAGAACAGTGGACTCTAATCTGGAAAACCAGGTTTGATTTCCCATTCCTCCATATGCAGCCAGCTGGATGACCTTGGGTCAGTCATAAGTTCTTTCAGAGCTGTTCTCTCAAGAGCAGCTCTCTCAGCCTCACCTACCTCACAGGGTGTCTGTTGTGGGGAGAGGAAGGGAAGAATACTGTAAACCGCCTTGACACTCCAAGTGAAGGGCAGGGTGTAAACCCAACTCTTCTTCTGAGACGCCTCAGAAAGCAGAAAGATTTCAGCATTCCTTTCTATATGTCACATTTTTTAATCCCAAGGGAGGCAGGACAGTGTATGTGGTTCTTCCCCTCACCCCTGCTTTATCTTCACAGCAACCTTATAAAAGTAGCTTAAGGAGAGAAGAAGAGCCCTGCTGGATCAGAGGAGTGGTTCATCTGGTCCGGCTTCCTGTGTCACACAGTGGTCAACCAGGTCCTCTGGAGGGCCAACAACAAGGCACAGAGGCCAAGGCCTTCCGGGCAGTTTCTGTCAGAGTTCTCTCAGCCCCACCTACCTCCCAGGGTGTCTGTTGTGGGGAGGAGAAGGGAAAGGAGTTTGTAAGCTGCTCTGAGACTCCAAGTGAAGGGCGGGGTATAAATCCAATTTCTTCTTCTCTTCTTCTTCTTCTGTAAATAAGGATCTCCCGTTCAGTTAGGCTGAGAGTGTGTGATTGGGCTAAGGTCACCCAATTAGTTTTTATGGCAGAGTGGGGATTCAAACCGGAGTTTCCCAAGATCTAGTTCAACACTCTTACCACTACGTCACCCTGGCTCTTGCTGGTTCATTGTAGCTGCGGAAAACCAGGGGTCATTTCCTGCAGGAGTCCCCACTCCTCCACTTGCAGCTGCTGGTGTGACCTTGGGTCAGTTGTAAGTTCTTTCAGAGCTGTTCTCCCAAGGGCAGCTTCTGTCAGAGTTCTCTCAGCCCCACCTACCTCACAGGGTGTCTGTTGTGGGGAGGGGGCGGGAAAGGAGTTTGTAAGCTGCTCTGAGACTCCAAGTGAAGGGCGGGGTATAAATCCAATCTCCTCCTCTTCTTCTTCTTCTTCTGTAAATAAGGATTTCCTGTTCAGTTAGGCTGAGAGTGTGTGATTGGGCTAAGGTCACCCAATTAGTTTTTATGGCAGAGTGGGGATTCAAACCCGAGTTCCCCAAGATCTAGTTCAACACTATTACCACTACGTCACCCTGGCCCTTGCTGGTTCATTGTAGCTGCTGAAAACAAACCCTTTCTCTCAGCAGGTGCACTGGACCCCTGGGGTAGGCAGAACTGCAGCCATTGCTCTTTTTGCCCAGCTTCCAGGATCAACCAGCATTTGAGCCCCGGAAGCAAATGCTCTCGTTTTACCGGTCACCACCAAGTTCCTTACTAGAAGCCCCAAGCTGGAGTTCATTCTTCCTTTTCCTAGGAATTTGAAGACCCCTACGGACATCCTCACCTGTCTTCCTGCTGTTGACGCTCCACTGATATTTGTTGGTGGATCCTCGGGACGCACTGGTTTTGGCTTTGCCTCTTTCGGTCCCGGATGCTCAAACAAACCGAAAACATCAAGAGCAACACCCCTGCTCCAATCAGCACGTAAGCCACAGAAAACGTCTTGCTTTTCAGGATTCCACCGGTCTCGTTCTTACTGCTGTTTCCCAAATGGGGCTTCCCGCCTTGCCCAAAGCCCGGGACCAAGTTCCAGACTGCCATGATCACCCCAAGGACGAGCATCCCGAGCCCGATGGCCGTCAAGGCGTAGTGTGAACCATTTGACCTGGAGTGGGCCATCGCGTGCAACGTGGATTCAGGCACAGGGGCAATCTAGAACATGGTGCCCGCCAATCAGGGGAAAAGTCCAAGCTTGGCAACGATCAGGGCTTCTTCCAAATGCTGGAGTGTAAAAAGAGATCTGGGGAAAGGGAAGAAGGAAGAGAAACTCAGCTGGTTGTGTTTCAAATAAAGGAGTGTCCAAAACAAGGACAGACAGTCCATGATAGAATGTAATCTGTTCCAAATAATGTACCACACAGCTTTGCTCAGCTGGCAAACAAGAACCACGCCCCCTCCAGTTATTTCTGCCTCAACTTGTACTTCCATTTATTTACCTTTAAAAAAACCCAAAACCCTTTATTTTGAACTGTTTTCCTAGCAAAACAAACAACACAACCGTATATCTGAGCTACATAATCACAGACGTTAAGCAAGCCCAAGAAGCAACAAAAGCCTTGCGGAGTTTGCCTCTACTATGCGAGAAGTAGGTAACAAATTTAAATTAACATTTCCCCACCAATTATGCCCACCAGATGTTCACTCTAATTCAATATGCCTTCTTTCCGTACTCCTTATCTATCACTCTCTAAGTATTTAAAGGTCTCCAGTGTGAGATTGCCCTAGCTGGATCAGGTAAGTAGATTTAATTCAAATGTATATTAAGTTATGATAATGTGGATCTTTAGGTAATTTCCTCTTTTCTGAGAGATACTGAATTGTGGGTACCACAATTCTGTTTATTTTTACATTTATTTACTTATTTATTTGATTTATACCCCGCCCTCCCTGCCAAAGCAGGCTCAGGGTGGCTTACAAAAGATAAAACATAAGAACAATTATGACATAAATAAAACCATCTAAAAACAATCCAATAACATAAAGTCCTAGCTGGTTGTAAACTAATAAACTAATACATTGGGGGTGGCGACAACAGTTATGTTAATATGAGCTCTGGCCTACTTTGTTCATCAGTTCTCAATCTTTATCATATATATGCGGCTGGCACAGGCTGTAATGGTGGAGTCAGGCACAGGGCTCTGTCTTCGTTTAGTGGTGAAGTTGTTATTGATGATGGTGGTGGCGGCGGCTCCTTCGCTGAAAGGCTGGTGGAAGAGCTCCGTCTTGCAGGCCCTGTGGAACTGTGAAAGGTCCCGCAGGGCCCTGATCCCTTCTGGGAGCTCATTCCAGCAGTACGGAGCTGCCACCGAGAAGGCCCTGGCTGTTGCCAGTCTGACAGTCTTTGGGGCCCGGGAGGGTCAATCGATTTAGTGACTCTGAACGCAGTGCTCGTTGGGGTACATATGGGGAAAAGCGGCCCCTTATCGATTCCCCTCCTTTCTCCCCAAGGGGGGCCCAAGGCAGCTGACATCATTCTCCTCGCCTCCATTTTATCCTCAAAACAAACCTGTGAAGGCAGGTTAGACTGAGAGGGGGTCTGACTGGCCCAAAGTCACCCGGCGAGCTTCCATGGCACGGAGTCTCCCTACGAGTCCGCACTCTTAACCACTACACCACGCTGTATTTCCAGAACATGGTTCACGCATGCAGAAAAATAAGGTGGTAGAATGGGGTGCACCATTTCGGACGGCAGGTGGAGAATCATGGGGGGAAACACTCACTGGAGAAGACCCTGATCATGCTGGGAAAGATTGAAGGTCAAAGAAGAGGATGAGATAGCTAGAGGCAACAAACGTGAAATTAAGCAAACTCCGGAGCATGACGGAAGACAGGAGGGCCTGGCGTGATGTGGTCCATGGGGTCGTGAAGAGTCAGACTCGACTGTGCGACTGAACAACAACAAACCTTCCATTAAAATTTCCCTGCAAAGAGAAAACCAACACAGCCAGCCAGCAAGGGTAGAACCCTGTCCCTTGCTCTGCTAGTTTTCTATTTGCGTGGACTTGTTATGCAAAGGAACACTCAAAAGAGGCTAGCCCCAGCACTGCTGTGGTCCTTTCCCACCATATTCATATAGGAAACAGAACTCATTATTAAAGAGTCAACACATGAGCCTTCAGGATGCTTAAACAGCCAAAGCACTACATTTTGCTGTCAGCTATGCTGCCATGGGGGTTGGGGAGTTCATTCTGTGTCTTGTTAATTGTTATTGCATTCCTATCCCTGCTGCTATGCCTTTGCTGTAACACTTATCTCTACAGATGTGCAGGAGGACGTTGTGTTGTCTGGAGGGCTCCTATGTACCGTGAGAGACTCCTAGTTCCCAGCTTTAGCCACCTAACGGTTGCCTGACTTATCCCATGCGCGGGAGGGTGCCTAACTGGCCAATGCCACGGGGGTGTGTGTGCATACGAATACCCTATATCCTATTATGCTCTAGTGGCTGCGGCCATTCCTAACAGTGCCTGTGTTACTGCATCTATAGCTTTGCAATAAAAGTATAACCATTCCTGAATGCGTGTATTTCGTTGTTAGCTGTGGGTTCTGACATTTGCTTCCTAGCTCTTAGCAGAAATGTCTATTTATATCGAGGGAAGAGGAATTGCTTTTGCTTTTAAATATTTGACAGTGGCTCAAGGATACATCATATTTATATTTTATTCCCCTCCCCCCATTACTTTAGGCTTTATCTGCCTCTCTGCATTAATGTGTGGCTATGAACTATATAAAACAAGATACTACACATACATACACACATGACCTTATTGTTAAGATGATAGCTTTTGTGATGATGGCAAACACAGTGATACACAAAGTGGTGTGCCAACTGGCTGGGGGCGGGATTTCCTGTCCACACCCTTCACCCAAGAATTTACGCCAGTGTTTCAACTAAATTGTGACTGCTCTCTGTCCATGGACAGGAGCCCTGCTGCAGAACGACAGCTGAGACAAAGGAGGGCAGTTGGAGATGGAAGTCATTAAGCTCGAAACACATAACGCTCAAGTTCTTACTTAAGCTAATGGCTTGACTACCCCATCCCCTGCTAGTAAGTCACACCTAGAGCCTTAAAGCTGGGAAGAATAAAGCGACAGAAGAAAAACTCTTCCTCTGGAACCAGAAGGCTATCCCAAAGAGACAGAGAGAAGAGAGGTTATAAAAACTCTGGACACAAAGAAGTGGGGTCTCTTTCATGCTGGGCAGCTCTTCGCATCCACACAAGCTGTGATGGACTAACATGTCACCTAACATGTCACCTAAGGATTCCATCTTGTCCATGAATCCCGACCTGGACATCTAAGACAAAGATGAGCTCTAACTTATTGCAACCTGAAGTACAACAAATCAAACATCAATTTGGAAATACCTAGAGAAGGCGGAAAGGCCAGTGTTTTCACCTTTTCTTTGTTCCCTTGCTCAGCCCGAAATCTTGAACAGAACACGTGTATCCTTTGATTGCTTTGATTGCTTTATTACGCTTTCCTTTATTCTGAACTCTCTAGGTCTGATCTCTGGAAACTCACCACACCCATTTGGTTTTGCTATCTGAAGTGGAGCACCAGGGAGGGGCAGCAGAGAAGGCTCGCCATTCCTGGAGAGCAAGAGCTCTTAAGTGTAAAAGTTGCAATAGATGTCACCTGTATTGGCTTGCAGAAGGAGAGCAGGAAGTGCTGCAAATAGGCAGGGCCTCTAAATGGCAACACAGGTCTGGAGTGTTGACCTATGACTCCACCCAGCAGGAGGTACTCCTAAGAGTCATTAGTGGCAGCTGGTCATTACCCAGTTTGTAATTGGCACCCTTGGGGAGCAAAAAGAAGGGCGTGTTGCCAAGCGGAGACATGGGGAGACTGCAGAATTTTTCCGACCACCCGAGGGGGTGTGTGTCAAATTAGAAGGAACAGGGTTTGCGAGTCCATCCCTCCACACATTTACTAGAGACTTAGTATACAGAAATGAACAGCTGACACATATCATGATGGGGAGCTAAATATCATTAGCTGTTATCTGCTGCTGATCAAGTGGAGCTGAAAAGGACAGCTAGAGGGACCAGTTTAAAAGCCGGCGAACGCTATGTATCACTTCAGCAACAATCAAGTACATACAGACCACAGAAGTCACTATTCTGTCTGCCCCTTATTAAAATTATATATGGTGAGCAACAACAAAACAGAGCCAGTTTACCACAGTCTTTCTATAAGGGAATTCTGATGTCATCATCAGACAACCGACTAAGTATCTACTCATAAGCCTTTCTTAAGGATGCCATTTAAGAGTTTGCATTCCTCCTATGTAAGCCTAAGAGAGGAGCTCGTGGTGTTCTCTGTTGCCCCCTCCCCACCCGTCATGGGAACTACTTCCCACTGGAGACTGATCAACACTCAAGCCTCAGCACTGGAAGGCCGGTCTGTTTGGGCTGGCTCTTGGCACACGGGGGCAGGTCAACAGGTGTGTGCCCAGTTTATTGGTTTTTTCCAAAGGGTGTGTGTGTCTTTTGCTGTTACATTTTTATCTTGCCCTTCTTCCAAGCAACTCAGGTGACCATACACAGAGGGGCCGTGGCTCCGGGGAAGAGCGAGCCTCTGCTTTGCATGCAGGAGGTCCCAGGCTCAATCCCAGGCATTTCCAGTTAAAGGAACCAGGCGGTAGATGATCTGAAAGACCTCTACTTTAGACCCTGGAGAGCTGCTGCCAGTCTAAGTAGAAAATACTGACCTTGATGGACCAAGGGTCTGATTCAGTGTAAAGCAGCTTCATGGACAGTAAGTTAAATATGAGCAGCCAGTGTGATGCAGTGACAAAAAAGGCTAATGCAATCTTGGGGGTGTATCAACAGAGGTATAACATCCAAATCGCAAGATGTCATAGTCCCGCTGTATACTGCATTGGTCAGGCCGCACCTGGAGTATTGTGTGCAGTTCTGGAGGCTTCACTTCAAAAAGAATGGAGCGGGTGCAGAGGAGAGCGACAAGGATGATCGGGGGCCTGGAGACCAAGCCTTATGAGGAAAGGCTGAGGGACTTGGGAATGTTCAGTCTGGAGAAGAGGAGGTCGAGGGGGGACAGGATGGCTCTCTTGAAGTATTTGAAGGGCTGTCTCTTAGAGGACGGCAGGGAGCTGTTCTCATTGAAAGCAGAGGATAGGGCTTGCAACCATGGGTTTAAATTAAGCATGGGAAGGTACCGGCTGTACATTAGGAAAAACTTTTTTTACAGTAAGAGTTGTTCAATGGTGGAATCAGCTGGCTCAGGAGGTGG